CAACAAACTTCCTCGTCTGCTTCAGACGAGGAAGTTTGTTCAACCTTCCTCGTCAAATACAGAGGGATCCAGCTGTGCTTTATTTAATATACATAATGCTGGATTATGGATTTGATCCAGCAGAGAGAAATGTTTTTCTATAAGGTTACAGAAAATTGGATGGAAACTTGATTGTTCACATTAGATCATCTCCACCTACAGACCAGGTGAGGAACAGCTATCAGCTGTGCAACAACGGCACCCTGAGAGTGATGTACGCCAATGGAATGGGCATCAGCTTCCACACCGAGCCCCACATCCTGGCAGGTTCTGTGAGCCCGACCATCGGCCGGAGGAACATCACTCTGCCCACCGACAACGGCCTCAACTCCATCGAGTGGCGTCTGCGTAAGGAGCAGACCAAGGGCCGGATTACCGTGTTTGGGAGGAAGCTCAGGGTAATTTTTCACTCACCTAAACACATTTTCTTCATACTAAAAACAAATTACAATCAACTGGACTTTGGTTTCCAAGTTTGAAGACGTTTCTCTTCCATCCAGGAAGATTTTTCAATTCAAAATGTCAGAAATAGCGTTGAGTTCCAGGTTTTATCCAGCAGCCCAACAAAGCCTGGTTTTGGTTTAAAAAACATGCAGATAGAAACGGATGAACGGGTCCCCCCCCTTTGGAATTGGGGTCGTTTGGCTTCTTTGTTAGCCTGCAATGCCCCATACCTGTCTATGTCTCTGAAAGGGGGGGCGTTAAAGATTCGCTTTAATTGGCTTTGTTGGGCTACTGTATCAGAGCCTCAAACTCAATGTTAATTCAGACATTTTTAATTGAAAAAGCTTCCTGGATAAGAAGCCAAACGTATTAAAACTTGGAAACAAAGTCCAGTGGATAGTTTTTTAACTTTTTTGGAATATGGCAAAAGACAAAGGTTTTATATTTCAATTTTTTTGTAAACAAAAGCTGATGAATTCAGTCTGGCCTTTGGGGCTGTTGTTCCCTGCAGTAGAAATGCATCTCACCACATGATGCTGCCACCACCGTGTTTCCTTCAGAGGACTGTGTGATTATGGTGTTTCTGATTAAATATAAAGTCTTTTATAACCTCAGTCTGCTTTGACCTAATGAACAACTCTACCCCTGAATGCTGCATTTATTGGTATCACTAATCACATTTTAATCAATAATGTTCTGTTACAAACTTCTGAGGCATGTACAGAACAGGGACATTTATAGTTGGTTTGAATTAGACATACTGGAATCTGTTGCAATAGATTTTATTTAGTGATGTTAAAGGAAAAAATTGAAAAAATACTGTTAGATTTTTTTATATGTGCCATGTTAGATTTATTTCTCAATATTTTCCAATATATCTGATATTTGTTGTCATCCCTATGTCTGCTTATGCTGGTTAAGATTCTCAGTCATCCAGGTCATAGTCATCCAATAAAACCACTGGACTTTGTTTCCAAGTTTGAAGACATTTTGCTTCTAATTCAAAATGTCAGAAATAGCGTTTAGTTCCAGGTTTTATCCAGCAGCCCAACAAAGCCTGGTTTTAGTTTAGAAAACATGCAAATAGAAACGGATGAACGGGTCCCCCCCTTTGGAATGGGGGTCGTTTGGCTTCTTTGTTAGCCTGCAATGCCCCATACCTGTCTATGTCTCTGAAAGGGGGGTTGTTAGAGGGAATAGTTGCCTGGATGAATAGACGAGGTCTTCTGTTCTCCTGTAAAGAGGTTGGGGTTTTGATGTTAGTGGGAAGGAATCAACTCTATTGCTGCATTGTAGGTTTTTGAAAGCTGAAACCTGAGTCCACCCCCTCTGTTTAAGGTTGATTTTTCTTTCTTACCATACATGGCTTCCTTCACGCCCCTCTCAAACCACCTGTCTTCTTTGTCCAAAATGTGAACATTCTGGACTTCAAACTTGGAAACAACTTTTTCGGAATGACTATGTCTGCTTGTCAGCACCAAAACAAATTCCTTGTAAACAAACTTTTGGCGCAGGCATCTTGAAAGTGAAAAAGAGTTCAATGGTAAAGGGTTAAAAAATGTCAGCAGAAACATTCATAATTTTTGGGGGGGGGGTTAAACCTCCAGGAATATTACTAAAGCTTTGGAAGGTAAATTAGATCTGTTGAATTTCTTCTCTAGGCTCACGGCCGCAATCTTCTTTCCATCGACTTCGATCGTAACACTCGCACCGAGAAGATCTACGACGATCACCGCAAGTTCACCCTGCGCATCATGTATGATGCTCAGGGCCGGCCGGCCATGTGGCTGCCCAGCAGCAGCCTGGCGGTGGTCAACGTTTCGTATTCTCCCACCGGGCAGCTGGTGGGGCTCCAAAGGGGAAGCATGAGCGAGAAAACCGAATTTGACCCCCAGGGTCGCATCCTGTCCCGCTCGTTTGTGGACGGGAAGGTCTGGAGCTACAGCTACCTTGATAAAGTAAGTACATCCATCTTTAACACTCATGTAGGATGCAGGTTTTTAGCAGCAGTAATTTGAATTGCAGAAGTGAGTGAAGTAAAATGTCTTTAAGCTGCAAATTTGTCAAGGGGGAGCAAATGATCCTCCATTGATAATGCCATGGTGATAATCCGTTCTTCAACCCTCTGCTGTCCTCCTCCAGTCCATGGTGCTGCTCCTGCAGAGCCAGAGGCAGTACGTCTTTGAGTTTGATGCCTCAGGTCGGGTCACGGCCGTCACCATGCCCAGCGTCGCCCGCCACACCATGTTCACGCACGTGTCCGTCGGCTACATCCGCAACACCTACAACCCTCCGGAGAGCAACGCCTCCATCATCCACGACTTCAGCGAGGACGGCCGCCCGCAGGCCACGCACTACATGGGCACCGGCCGCCGCGTCCTGTACAAGTACGGCAAGCTGGCCAAGCTGTCAGAGATCGTGTACGACAGCACCGTGGTCACGTTCGGATACGACGAGACGGCCGGGGTCCTCAAGATGGTCAACCTGCAGAGCGGTGGCTTCTCCTGCACCATCCGCTACCGCAAGATGGGTCCCCTCATCGACAAGCAGATCTACCGCTTCAGCGAGGAGGGGATGGTGAACGCCAGGTTCGACTACACCTACCATGACAACAGCTTCCGCATCGCCAGCATGAAGCCGGTCATCAGTGAGACACCGCTGCCTGTTGACCTCTACCGCTACGATGAGATCTCTGGGAAGGTGAGAACCTTCATCTTTGATATACTGTTTACCTTAACACTAGGACTCCCAGAATTCTGATCCTACTGGAACTCCCACTAGCCGTCAATTTGTCAGGTGACATTTTTCTCCAATGGAATGCATGAGTAGTGCAACAGCCAGGGCTAATGTTAGCCCGTCTGCAGCTGCCAGGGCTAATGTTAGCCCGTCTGCAGCGGCCAGGGCTAACGCTAGCCTGTCTGCAGCGGCCAGGGCTAATGTTAGCCTGTCTGCAGCTGCCAGAGCTAATGTTAGCCTGTCTGCAGCTGCCAGGGCTAATGTTAGCCCGTCTGCAGCGGCCAGGGCTAACGCTAGCCTGTCTGCAGCGGCCAGGGCTAACGTTAGCCCGTCTGCAGCTGCCAGAGCTAACGTTAGCCTGTCTGCAGCTGCCAGAGCTAATGTTAGCCCGTCTGCAGCTGCCAGGGCTAATGTTAGCCCGTCTGCAGCGGCCAGGGCTAACGCTAGCCTGTCTGCAGCTGCCAGGGCTAACGTTAGTCCGTCTGCAGCTGCCAGGGCTAATGTTAGCCCATCTGCAGCGGCCAGGGTTAACGTTAGCCCATCTGCAGCAGCCAGGTCTAATGTTAGCCTGTCTGCAGCTGCCAGGGCTAATGCTAGACCGTCTGCAGCGGCCAGGGCTAACGTTAGCCCGTCTGCAGCAGCCAGGGTTAACGTTAGCCCATCTGCAGCAGCCAGGGCTAATGTTAGCCTGTCTGCAGCTGCCAGGGCTAATGCTAGACCGTCTGCAGCGGCCAGGGTTAACGTTAGCCCGTCTGCAGCAGCCAGGGCTAATGTTAGCCTGTCTGCAGCTGCCAGGGCTAATGCTAGACCGTCTGCAGCGGCCAGGGTTAACGTTAGCCCGTCTGCAGCAGCCAGGGCTAATGTTAGCCTGTCTGCAGCTGCCAGGGCTAATGCTAGACCGTCTGCAGCGGCCAGGGTT